AAAAGAGTTTAGATTGTAGTGCTGCAATTCCTACAACCGATAGGATACAGTGTAGAGTATTGCAACTAAAAGAAGAATTGCCAATGTAAGAACAGAAGTTCCAATTGGAGAAGTCAATGTAAAATTTACATGCTCTTCTCTTTGTGTGTGTACTTGTGCAAATGTTAAGAATTTTTATTAATATTAAGTACTTATTGAATTCTCAAATCAAAATTTCTAACCTGCAGAATAATGTATTATACAATTACTTCCTCTTAAATCCTCTCTGCCACTTTTTGAGTTGCTTTCATAACTTTCCGCTAGATTTCTAAACACATACAATGGATATTGTATTCCTTCTTGAACCTGATTTTACGTACAATTTTGGATTGTCTTTACTGGCCATGATACAAGGTTTAAATAACTTGCTGCAGGATCTGCTATGTCAGTCATGCTGATTGGTGTTTGATTGGTGTGTATATGGGTGGTTTTATTTATCTAGAATTGTACTTGATGCGAAAGAGCAAGCTAGGACATGTGGAGACTTTTGAGGGCTGATGCAGTCAAAGGATTAGGAACTGTGCTTTAATGCTAATGAAAACACTCCAATACAAAACAGTGAAGTTTCAAATATGCTTTGTGGATAATCTTGGTTGATGACTTTTGGTTTCTATAACAATGAGAAGAATGTCATCTTGTCATGACTGTTGAAAGATTATTGACCTAACTTTAAATAAAGATACTTTCTGTTCTACAGCTATTGGATATCTTCTTGTTTGTCGTAATATTGGTTGGGGTATTGATAGAAAGCAAAACATTAAATAAAGCTTATCTTGAAACAACCATTTTCTTGGCAGGTCATTGTGTGTGCTCTGAACATTTTAAAAAACCAGAAACCTAGCTAAAGGGTCAAGGCTAATAGTCCCAGAAATCTGCATAGTTGAAAACACATCCAACATATCAAAAGTGGTTAGGTAGTCCTTTTCCTGAAGAAAAACATGAGAACGTAGGGGTAAAAAAAACTGAATGAGCAGGGAGCAAAATATCTTGAGGTTCTCAGGAGTAAGAGACATTGTGATGAGTTTACACAGTAAGGAGACAAGAGGAAGGCTGCAAAGGAGGACATATTTAAAGATTAGAAGGAATAATAGAACATGTTCACAATTTAGACTCATATGGCTAAGTAGGTCATTCAAAACAGAAAAATTCTGGAACTATTTCTTCCAAAAACAAATTGATCAAATGGCATTGTTTTCTAAAAAAAATACATATCACTAATAATATTATTGCAATTAAGCCCTAAAGTTGTTGAATGAAATTAATGGAAGGTTAGATCAAATAAACTAAAATAACAAGGAAAGCAATTTCAGACAATATGGTAAGTATTTACTTTAAAGGGATCAATAGTCTTTAGTGTTAAATTATAAGGCAGATTTTGGTACAGTCTCAGCAACAACAAATGCTATTTCAAATGGCAGGGTAATTCTGGGATTCGAACTTGCATTCCTGGTCTCTCTAAGTTTTTTGTTACGGCAGAGTAAGGGTGCTACACATTGCGTTCCTCACCTGGTTGGCTCTATTATGGGTTGGTAATCTTCTCATTCCCTACAATTTTCATTGATCAGGTCAGCTTCTGGATGACTCATGGTCTGTAGTAATCAGGAGTCATGGACCATAGTTTGGATTCAGGAATTTTTTTAATAGGTAAGTTGAAAAGATCATACTCAAGTGCCCCAGCCAATCCCCATGGCTGTTCATATACTCTGTGCAACTCAATGTAACCTCATGCCTCCAGTCACTCCCAATAGCTCCTCATTTTCTCTTATGCCAATTCATGCCCCTTTCCATGTCCAATAAGTACCTAACTAATGATCCACTTAATAAGAATGGCAAGTGTGGAACTTCTGAGAAAGAAGCACCATGTAAAAAATGTCCTTGTAAAGTGAGAGCTGAGAGATGGTACCATTCAATTATACAGTCTCCTGGCTTCACAAAAGTGCAGGGCTCAAAAGAAATAACTTGGAATCCAGTGACATACATCAATGGGGAAGCTTCTGCTTGCTGGTCATGCCCAGAATATGGGAAGTTGCTAAAGTGCATTCATCCTGCAGCATTCGGTCCATGAGATAAATCCTGAGGAGAAGTCCTACTCCCTGATTCCAAGACTGATGTTACCAATCGGTGTCACCACAGAGGATCGTTATGATCCATTTTCAAGCAGCAAGCTGGCAGGCACAGTAGTGGTGACATTTGTTTTGTATTCTGAACAAGTTATGTAGGGTTACGTTTCAGGAAAGAGTGATGGTGCTCCTTAAGCAGACTTTAGTTCGAAGAGTACATTGTTGGGCACAGTTTTATGATTGCTTCGAGATAGTTGTTGCACAATGTAGACAGGAATAAAAGGATAAGATGATGAGTAACTTGCATTGTCAACTCTGGTCAAGCCTTTGAACATCTTGCAGTGTTCTGAAATCCTGGTAGTGAGTGAGTTGGCATCCAGCACTAAGACCACCTCCATCTATACATCATGACTCTGGCCATTTAACCAGGGGTTGGTCTCTGCTCACTCCAATCTCCTGCAGGTTGAACTCCCTATGAGAACTTCCATGCCAAAATCCAATGAACAGTAGAGAAGCTATTCTTGTGTGAATGGATAAATTAAAATGCTACAGAAACACTGTAATCAGAATTAATATAGATTTTAAAATGAAAGAGATAAGCCAGAACTTATACTTTCCCCAATTTCAAGTCTAGTGCAGAAGAATGGTGTATGGAAATGAAACTTTTCATATGCTTTTGTTGGTTGCGCTTGTGTTCCACACTGATATTTATATTTCAGTTTCAGCAAGTGAGCTCTTCAGAAAACTGGAGTGCAACTTTTTGTCATAGCAATTGATAAATACAGAGGCATAAATAAAGATGTGTTTACAGCATACATTAGATCCAGTAAATGTCAGGCCATTGTGTACTGTTGTCACAGTGACAGTCCTGTGTGCATCATGCACTTCTGTCTCAATGATGATCTTGTTCACATCATATACTTTTGTCTCTCTTCTGTAGACAATGCATACTCTCCCTATGTGGAAAATCTGTCAACTTCCTCTCCTCATCACCCTAACCCCAACATGAGCAATGATTGTAATTCTGTTATGTGCTTTACATCAATCCATAAAGACATGCCCCTCCCCTGTTTCATCCAATGCGTAATGTGAAGGAGCTTTAATAGCATTCAACTAGCTTCCACAAAAATGTTGGGCTGAATCTTGTGTTTTATTGGCTAATTGCGAGTTGATTTACATTTTTTGGAGCATTTGCATTTGAGACCTCGTGAGATTTCTTCCCAAACTTTCCTCATCGACAACCTACCCTGCCTTTCTCTGATTCTATCTCCATCTTAACATGAACCAATCCTGGAACATCTCACCACAGCCAGGGTGCCTTAAGTTAACTAATATGCCTGGTAGTTGCACCACATTTAAAAGGCTGTTGTGCCCCCAGACAAGGACTGTTAGTCTACAGCTTTCCTGTATGGTTCTTTATGTTTGTCCTGAACATGGCTGACAAGGGGAATTTGGCACACAGTATTGAAGGCAGGGACCTGTACGCAAAGCAGAAATGCTGGTGAGCATCCAGGCAGCCTCCGAGTGAATTAGCTCTGTGAGAGCAAGTGATCGGAATGGATTTGCAGCTTGGTTGAGTCCATGAGCATATGGGCACGCCTCCCTGAGTGTAGAGTGTCCTAGCTGCAGCAGTACAATTATAATTGCCATTGCAGTATTAAAGTGCAGAACCCTACTATAAGTGGAGAGGAGACAATGCAGTTTCTAGGAACTCTGAAGAAACGTGTCAGATGCCAATATCAACGAATGGTAGGTGTATGTGGTTGGAGTCCAATGAATAAGCCCTGACCAGTTGGACACCGGGCATCAACATGGAAGTGGTTTGAAGTAGACGGCAAGCTGAAATCGGCTTTGACTGCCATGTTGAGAGTTCTCGACGTCTCGCTTGTTTGACACGTTTGGTCAGATATGAATCTGAATTTTAATGAAGTAAGTTGAGCCAAGGTGTTTAACAAACTTTAAATTCCTTTAACTGGCTGTGTGTTGCTGCTTGCCTCGCTGTTTGGCAACTGCATAAAATGTGCAACGAGATGTTTCCGATGTTGATAGGTCTGGCTGGAATTTTCACTTGATTCTGCCATGAACCTTGCCACAGCCCACATTGCTGCGACCTCTAAGATTCGATCCAAAGTAATCTTTTTAGAAATCTATACAGTTCAACATGAAAACTTGCTTGCTGGTGATAAATCTGATGAGTGGTCACTTTATTTTTTTTTTATTTGGGATTCCATGGCTGAGTATCTTCTACACAATTGCTAGAACTCTGCTGTAAGCTAAGTTTATTTTGTCCACAACAACTATTGAGCTTTGTTCAGAGTCCTAGAGGAATTGAATCATATTTCTTCAAGATTGAAGACCCTCAGGAAAATAAGGGGAAATGGAAAGAAAGCAAGAAAAAGAGTCAAGTTTTGAGGCCTTCTAATTCCTCAAATTCTTTAATTTGAAAACACGGTAGAATTGAGGACCTGGGAGATGCATTTTTAAAACCATTACTCTGACAATGAATTCAGTTATGAAGGTGTTCCATTTTTAACAGATTGTACAAGCAAATGTTAAGAATTGCCAGAACACCAAAGTATATAATAGTTCAACTGTAGTTGCTTATATTTGTAGAAGATGCACACAGTATAATGCTCAGTCCTGTAATGTGCTAGACTTGATCCATTTCTATGGTCACATCCTTAAACAGTGAATTGTTCAATATGATCTACTACATCAACTATATTGCATCACATTAACTTTAATTTCTCTTCAAAGATGCTGCCAGACCTGCTGAGCTTTTCAAGCAACTTCTGGTTGTGTTTCTGATTTACAGCATCTGCAGTTCTTTCAGTTTTTATTTAGCATCAACTATATGATTGTTTTAATGGCTTAAAACAATATCCAAGGAAAACAGCATACCTGTGTGGGTCCTTTGATGTGCTTTCAAATGAGAACTCTTGGTGTAAACTTTGGTGCAGCCTGAAAACAATACATTAGAATGCATCTCAGTTAAAATGTATTTTTTTTTCTTTTCAGATTTATAATCTGCCCCTCCTGCTTTTAAAAAAAGCTGTTACATTTAGTAATTCTAGGGTACACCTGTAGACCTCAAACTTCAGGATCCACACAGAAGGAAGCTGCTGAGATACTTTGAGAATCAGTCCCTTCAAGTACTATAAGTAGGATTATTTTCAGATCATTGAAATATCTTTACAACTGTATGGTCCAGGGTTTTTCAGCTTCAGAACCTCAATTGATAAATCAGGCATCAGATTTGGCCACGGATACTAAACACTCTTTAGAAAAAAAGAGAAACAAGGCCAGTCTGCAGCATTAAATTGATGAATAATTCCAACTGCTTGTTTATCTCAGTTTTTAAATAGCTACAATTATATGGATTTCCCAGTGTTTGAGCAATGAATTTAATGAGACAGAGCAGATTAGCAGTTGAACATCGCAAATATGCCCCAAGGGGTTCGTTGCTATTAGTCTTTTAATTATCTAAGGCCTCTGTATACAAAACTGATGAAGTAAGTTGGTTGACTAACTAACAAGCTCATCAATCATTTTTGTAAAGAGGACTACAAGCAAGTTGGTGTCTTGCTCACTTGCAAAATTTCAACTATTGCCATAAAACTTGGCAACAAAGCTGGGCCATAATAAATGCCTTCAAGCAATTTAAAATTGAGCTACACAGACCAAGAGGATTGCAGATACATTCACCAGTCTGAACGGGTACCTAGTCTCTTAGAGCAGAAGTAAGGCTGCTACAATTAACTTCACTGCTTCCAGGAGTTGATAAAGCAAAAATTGCACCAGATACATGTTCCTATTCTGTGATTTTGTTTAAAAGTTATTCATTCTTGATGTGAACATCATTGGTAAGTTTACTAATGACGGGTCTGTACAGAATAGATAGGGAGAATATGTTCCCAGTCTTGAACTGATTGCAGATAAGATGGCACAGATTTAAAGTAATTGGTAAAAGAAGCAAAAGTGATATGAGAAAAAAAACTTCAACATGTAGCGAGTCATTAAGGTCAGGAATCCACTTCACTTGCTGGAGGCAAGTTCATTTGAAACCTTCAAAAGGGAGTGAGATTAGTATGTAAAATTGATTAACATGCAGAGTTACAAGGACAAGGCAGGAAACTGGACCAAAGTGAATTGCTCATTTTGAATGCTGGTGTAGATAAGATTGCCAGAATGGATCCTTCTGCGTTATATGAGAAAGAGATATGAGAAGAGGCATGGCAGTGAAACGAAAATCATTCATTACTCTTGTTAGGTTACGTACTTATAATTTTTTAATTAAACAAGCACTCATACCTGGGAAGTCACAATGATGAATCCGTCTCTTCTCCAACTCAGGGTTGTTGCGTCGACTGTATTTTGTTGTCTGGAAGCCAGGTTGACAGGGCTGCATGGTGGTCTGAAGACTATGCATTTGAGGATGATGAACTATCTTTGATGCTACTGATGCAGCATATGATGGAGGTGGTGAGAGTGTATTGATAAGGTCAGGCTGGTTTTCTGGGCTACCAGGTTGAGAATTTGGAGGTGATGGCGGCAGATATGAAGTTTGTTGCCGATAAAACTGAGCTGGTACAATAAAGTTATTTGGTGATGATACAACAGGCTGAAAGTGTTTAATTGCTGACTGGGTAGACATGCTGCTTGCTCCAGCCATGCCTGTTGACATGGTAACACTGTTACAACTGTGAATAACTGTAGTGTTGCCAAGTGACTGGGTAGAGCTCAAAGGCATGTCGACAACATCTGTGTTGATTGGCATCTGATACAGTTGGGGCTGATGTGAACTCACAGGCAGTTGTAGCTCAGGGGAAGAGGCTTCCTGCTTGATGAAGATATTATTCACAGGAACTGACTGTGGCACACTGAACACACTGGTGAATTCAGGCAGGGCATGTGTTGTAGTGGACGTGCATGACTGGGTGAAGTTAGTGGCTGGCTCTGTCTTGACTTGTGAGAGAGCTTGCTTTGTTGGTCTGTAAAGGCCCGTTCTCAAGTGGGTGATATCAGGCAGGATCAGGTTGATATTCAAGCTGTATGGCGATGTTATCTGCTCCTCAAAAAACTCATCTACCACTGAGGCACTTTCTCTTCGATATTTCTTCTGATCCAGAACTGTTGAGGCTGGTGGAATTAGTGGGGCTAGATACCTGTCCATTTCCGATCTTACCTTTTTTTAAACAAAAAAAATGCATTTGTTTTGAGTACACTGTCAAAATATTAAAGATGCTAAGTTTTAAAGTTTTTAATTTTATGATGCCAGAACAACGAACTGTTAAGAGAAAGCTATTGTTTTAAATCATTTTGTTGAAGTGCACTCAAATGGTACCTTTTGATAAATTAACCAGTACCTACATACTTTATAATGTAAGTGAAGACATTCTTAAGACAAATTTTAAGACAGTGTTTTGTATCTAAGATCCTCTATTCAGAGAAGCTGATTGTTACTTTCAAGCTTACAGCAGGCTTTATTTGACACTTGTAAAACACAACTTGATGACACCATTTGCTAAATTCCATAAAACAGTAATTTGCCTAATGATTCAAATGGCAAACATTGAGATGATATTCCTAATTATTTACTTATTCCTAATGAAATTTCCTTTTTCCACATTTTTCAAAAAATTTCCTTACTTTTTCTACTCAAAATGACTTTCATGCGTGTAGAATCTATGACTGAAAGCAAAGAGGCAAGTCTCTTCTAGATCTATGCTTTGAAACATGCAGTTGGATGAAAGTAGCATTTTATTCAGTCTATAATCTCTGCTCGGTGTTATGTCATCCCAAATTCAGTAAGAGAGCAATCCGTGATGTTAACTACTAGTTTATCACTCAATGTCACAGTGTGACCAATGTTGCTACATTGCCCATGAAGTTACCCATCAGAATAATTATGACATTATACTGAAAAATAACAGCATATTCACCATCATTATTGGATTATTTCTCAAGATAAGCACTTTCTAAATAGTTCTCCATTAAAGTTAGATGTTTGGTTTCAATGCCACCGACAGTCTTGGTAAGTAGTCTAACAAGCATTATTGCTTCGTAATGCTGTTATAATTACTTATGGCACCATTAAACTTGACATTATTCTAGTTTCAGAAACGTTTCATCTTTAAAAATGGCAGTATTATTTAGCAAAATTTTATCTAGATTGTATTTAATTGTAGCAGCCAAAATCTGATGTGTGGGTGTTTACTGACAGTAGCTTGACTGGTTCAAGATTGTAATTCCAGCAAAATATATATTAGATATTTTCCTAATCAGAGTGACTTTGTATTTCAAAAGCATAACTGTCAAGACAAGATTTCCTGTATTTTTCTAATAGCTTCTGTACGATGGGAGTAATTATGGATTTCACAGCAATACTTCTTGGATATCATTCAATTTTTCCATCCTTAACTAACAATCCCATGCAAGGGAGTTTCAGGTCATCTGGTGGTCGTACCAGGAGTTCACAGCTACTCCACCATACCAAGAATACCTCAATAAATAATGAGCATACTTTATTGAATAACAGCAATTGAAAGCTGTATGTTTTCCAACTAGCTGTGCCCAGATCTCTTAACACTCCTTTAGCTTTTCTCCTTCCTTTTCGTGTGAAGGAATAAGTGCTTCCTTTTAAAGTAATCTTCTCACCGTGGTCCATTTTCATACTCCAGAAGGTGCTGCACAATAAAATTGTCAAAGAGGTAACTAAGCACAAAGCATGCTGTAAATGACCAACAGCACTCTTCTATCACATGTTTCAAGCTGGTTGTTTGAGTTCTGCAGATGAATATTATTGGGTGAAGTACATAGTATTTCAATTACATCCAATTACCACAGCCTGCTATTCGTTGTAACCTGTCAGAATAAATGTTTTGTTGCTGTATTCTTATGTTAGCATTATCTGAAAATTGAGGTTTCAAGGCCAACTCAAGAAACTTGAGCATTAACTCTAAGCTGATGCAGCAGTGCAGTTACTGAGGGAGTGTTGCATTGTTGATATTGTTTCCCTCCAATCTCTTCTCGATATAAAAGATTTCATGATGCTACTATCTCATAAAACAGCAGGGGAGTTCTCTGAGATTCAAGACCAATGTTTATCTTTCAGAAAATATCATTTAAATGGATTACCTTATTACAGGCTGTACCTAAAATAGCTGCCATAGATCCTACATTATAAGAGCAAGAAATATATATAATATTATATAATAAAACCCAAGGCATTTTACAGGAGCAGTATAAAACAAGATATGACACCAAACCACATTGTATCAGATAACCAAAAGCTAGGTAAAATAAATATTATTGAAGGCATGAACGGATTTGAAAACCAGGGTAAGAATTTTTAAATGAGCATATTGCTGAACCAGAAGCCAATGCAGGGCAGCAAGCGCAGATGTAATTGGTGAATTGGATTTGCTGCGAGCAAAGATTCAGGTAGCACAGTTTTGGATAGCCGCAAGTTTACTTGGGGTAGAATGTGGAAGACCAGTCAGCAGAGCTTCAGAATTGTCAAGTCTTGAAGGCAACAAAGGCACAAATTAGGTTTTCAGCACCCTATGAGGCCAGGTAGGGGTGAATCATAGAATCCCTGCAGTGTGGAAACAGGCCCTTTGGCCCAACAAGTCCACACTGAACCTCAGAGCATCCCATTCCCCTATAACCCACCTAATCTACATATCCCTATGGGCAATTTAGCATGGCCAATCCACCTAACCTGCACATCTTTGGACTGTGGGAGGAAACTCACACAGACACGGGGAGAATGTGCAAACTCCTCACAGATAGTTGCCCGAGGCAGGAATTGAACCCAGGTCCCTGGCACTGTGAGACAGCAGTGCTAACCACTGTGCCACCGTGCTGCCTGTGAAACTGAGCATTGCTGCCAAGATATGGTTTTAGTGATTATGTGAACATTATACGTAGTCAGAAACTCATGACAGGGTCAAATATGACATCAATTTTGTGGACTTTCTGGTTTAGTCTTAAATTCTTGCCAGGGAATGGGATGGAGAAGAACTTGTGTCTGTAATTAAGGAATGGTTTAGGAGTGTGGACTGTAAGCAATCAGTTTAATTTTTCCAATATTTTAATTAGAAAAAAATTCTGCTCATCCAGTAATGAACATGAGATAAACAATTTTGTAATTTAGTGACTTTCACAGAATGAAGAGAGGTAGGGTAAGACAGAGGTGAGTGTTGTCAGCATGTGTAAGCTCGTGTTCTGCTTTCAAATGATGTCACTGTGGCAAAATATTGATAAGAAGTTAGGAGAGGGTCAAGAATAGATTTTTGAGGGACATTAGGGGGTAACTGTGTGGAAGCAGGAAATACAAGTGATACTCTGGGTACGAATAGATTGATAACAATGGAATGATTCGAGAGCAGCGCCAATCTGCTGGATAACAGCGGAGAAGTGTTGGAGAATAATGTGCTGAATCATGTAAAAAGCTGCAGAAAGGTTGGAAAACACAAACGGGAATTGCTTACCTTTATCGCAGTTACATAGGGTGTAATTTATGCTTTGGTAAGAGTCATTTCGATACAGTGGCAGAGGCAAAATCTCATTGGACTGTTTCAAATTTGGACACAAAGGATAGGTGGGCATGAATTTAGGAGGGAGAAACATGTTCTAGGACTTTGGAGAGGAAATAGAGTGGTAGGAATTGGAGCAAGAGGAGAGATATGTTAGGAAGCACTTCTACTTACAAAGGGTGGTAGAGCTTTGTAACTTGCTTCCACAAATGGCAGTTGATGTTAGATCAGTTGTTAACTTTAAATCTGAGAAAGATACATTTTTATGAAGCATGGGCCAAAGGTAGCAATGTGGAGTTAGGCCACAAATCAGTAATGATCTCATTAAATGGTGGAACAGGCTCAAGAAGCTAAATGAGCTACTCCTGTTCCTATGTTCCAATAATTTACAAAATGAATGGATTTAAAGGTAGGTGTTTTTTGAGAGGAGTGATGATGGTAAATTTAAAAGAAGAGAGAATTACTAAGAATATCAGCCAACATGGGGAGCCAGGAGGGAAAGTTGGATGGTCAGCATTGGGTTATGTGAAGGATTGCTCCTCAAGCATTCTTCTTTGGCTATAAAATGCATTAGAAAATCCTGCAATCACGAAAGATGTGATATAAATACAATGCGTTTTTCTTAGAGTTTACCATATATAGACAATGACTTGCTGTTAAACATTGTTTTGCCAGAAAGCCGACGCAACTCCACCCATTGCTGACGCCACACGGCCCACCACCGACGCCAACGTCGCTCCGCCCATCATCTCCACAGCCAGCAGCTCCAGAGGACACAGTAGCACCCAGCCCTGCCGAGTCTTCACCATCCCCCCAGACCTCCCCCTTACTGAGGACGAACGGTCAGTCCTCAGTAAAGGGCTCACCTTTGTCCCCGTCCACCCAAACATCAACGAATACCGGTCATGCTTGGACATTGAACAGTTTTTCCGCCGCCTCCGCCTCCGCGCTTACTTCTTTAACCGTGAGCCTAACCCTCCCTCTACTGACCCCTTCTCCCACCTCCAACACAACCCCTCCTCCTGGACACCACCCCAAGACCTCCTACCCTCCCTCAACCTCTTCATCTCCAACTACCGTCGAGACATCAATCGCCTCAACCTCTCCACCCCGCTCACCTACTCCAACCTCTCCCCCACAGAACGTGCAGCCCTCCGCTCCCTCCGCTCCAATCCCAACCTCACCATAAAACCCACGGACAAGGGAGGCGCAGTTGTAGTATGGCGCACTGACCTCTACATCGCCGAGGCCAGGCGCCAACTCTCCGACACCTCCTCCTACCGCCCCCTTGATCATGACCCCACCCCCGACCACCAAACCATCATCTCCCAAACCATCCACAACCTCATCACCTCAGGTGACCTCCCACCCACAGCCTCCAACCTCATCGTTCCCTAACCCCGCACCGCCCACTTCTATCTCCTTCCCAAAATCCACAAACCTGACTGCCCTGGTCGACCCATTGTCTCCGCCTGCTCCTGCCCCACCAAACTTATCTCCACCTATCTCGACTCCATTTTCTCCCCCTTGGTCCAGGAACTCCCTACCTACATCCGTGACACCACCCACGCCCTTCACCTCCTCCAGAACTTCCAATTCCCCGGTCCCCAACACCTCATCTTTACCATGGACGCCCAGTCCCTATACAGCTGCATTCCCATACAGATGGCCTAAAGGCCCTCCGCTTCTTTCTGTCCCGCAGGCCCGACCCAGTCCCCCTCCACTGACACCCTCATCCGCTTAGCTGAACTCGTCCTCACCCTCAACAACTTCTCTTTCAATTCCTCCCACTTCCTACAGACAAAGGGGGTGGCCACGGGTACCCGCATGGGCCCAAGCTATGCCTGCCTTTTTGTAGGTTACGTGGAACAATCCCTCTTCCGTAGCTACACTGGCCCAAAATCTCACCTCTTCCTCCATTACATTGATGACCGTATCGGCGCCGCCTCGTGCTCCCACGAGGAGCTCGAACAGTTCATCCACTTCACCAACATCTTCCACCCCAACCTTAAGTTCACCTGGACCATCTCTAATACCTCTCTCTCCTTCCTGGACCTCTCTGTCTCCACCTCTGGCAACCACCTAGAAACTGATATCCATTTCAAGCCCACCAACTCCCACAGCTACCTAGAATACACCTCGTCTCACCCACCTTCCTGCAAAAATGCCATCCCCTATTCCCAATTCCTTCGCGTCCGTCGCATCTGCTCCCAGGATGAGGCATTCCACTCCCGTACATCTCAGATGTCCTCGTTTTTCAAGGACCACAACTTCCCCCCCCCCACTCAGTGGTCGAGAACGCCCTCGACTGTGTCTCCCGCATTTCCCGCTACTCATCCCTCACACCCCCTCCCTGCAATAACAACCAAAACAGAATCCCCCTCGTCCTCACGTACCACCCGACCAACCTCCGGATCCAACGCATCATCCTCCGACACTTCCGCCATCTGCAATCCGACCCCACCACCAAAGACATTTTTCCCTCCCCACCCTTATCTGCTTTCCGGAGGGACCACTCTCTCCGTGACTCCCTTGTCTGCTCCACACTCCCCTTCAGCCCCACCACACCCGGCACTTTTCCCTGCAACCGCAGGAAGTGCTACACCTGCCCCTACACCTTCCCCCTCAACCCCCATCCCAGGCCCCAAGAAGACTTTCCACATCAAGCAGATGTTCACCTGCACATCTGCTAATGTGGTATACTGCATCCGCTATTCCCGTTGTTGCCTCCTCTATATCGGGGAAACCAAGCGGAGGCTTGGGGACCGCTTTGCAGAACACCTACGCTCGGTTCGCACTAAGCAACTGCACCTCCCAGTTGTGAACCATTTCAACTCCCCCTCCCATTCCTCAGACGACATGTCCATCCTGGGCCTCCTGCAGTGCCACGACGGTGCCACCCGAAGGTTGCAGGAACAGCAACTCAAATTCCGCTTGGGAACTCTGCAGCCCAATGGTATCAATGTGGACTTCACAAGCTTCAAAATCTCCCCTCCCCCTTCCGCATTCCAAAACCAGCCCAGCTCGTCCCCGCTTCCCCAACCTGTCCTTCCTCCCACCTATCCCCTCCTCCCACCTCAAGCCCCACCCCCATCTCCTACCTACTAACCTCATCCCGCCCCTTTGATCTATCTGGACTGACCTATCTCCTCCCTACCTCCCCACCTGCACTCACTTTTACTGGCTCTATCCCCGCCTCTTTGACCTGTCTGTCTCCTCTCCACCTATCTTCTCCTCTATCCATCTTCTATCCGCCTCCCCCGCTCTCTCTATTTATTTCAGAACCCCCTTCCCCTCCCCCATTTCTGAAGATGGGTCTAGGCCAGAAACATCAGCTTTCCTGCTCCTCTGATGCTGCTTGGCCTGCTGTGTTAATCCAGCTCTACACCTTGTTATCTTCGCCAGAAGGTATTGTGTGTCTTCCAATAACTACCTGTTTTATAAACGTTTTCTCCTGCTGACTGTCAGAGCATGTCAGTGAATCACTGAATGGTTGCAAGAGATATGCCGTGACAAATGACTTAGTCTCATTCTCCCGTCTTTTCCCTATTGCATTTTTTCACATCAATTCCATTACCTTTCAGGAAACCATACTTTCAGGCAGTGCATTCCTGACCTTAACCCCTCACTACTTAAAAAAATATTTTCCTCATGTCACTTTTGTACGTGGAATTAAGCTGTCCCACTAATTTCCTCATACAGTCATTATACTCTTCTCCCACCACCCCTAATTAAATTTACTCTAATTAATTGTTTGGTCACTATATTTCAATAAATATCTGGGAGTAATGCCATCTCTTTAGAAAATTCAGGTGATATTCATAAAGCATACGATATTTTCTCCATTGGCTTAATATCCTATCGTCCTCTGTGTTGCTGTTCCCTTAGAGTTCACTCAGGTTCACTTTGTTTTTCTTCTTGTTGTAATTCTTATTGGATCAAGGTCATAGCTTTTGCATTCATCCCACAAAGTAATAGAACGACTCAGAGACTGATTAAGTCTGGCAGGTCAAACATCACTGCTCCTCCTGTGATGAAAATCTTCCTCACACCGGCTGAAAGCATGTTTGTAATTTAACAGAAAGAGACTTCATGTATGATGAACTTCCATATGACGGGAACTACACCTTACAGCTAAGAGTACCCTATTGAATACTGACTCAGAATTTAAATGTGAAGCTCTTGTCACTGCCTTTCAAAAACTATTGACCAAATCGCAGTTCTCTTCAAAATAGACTGGAACGTCACCCTCTGTTATGGACTAGATCATAACTTTCCATTTGTTATAACATGGGGCTTTGCAGAGAAAACAATAGCCAAACAAGTAACTTTATTATCTCTTCTTAGTTCTGGACCACTTTCTTACTGCTTAATATTTCCCGAATCGTAAGACATTGAGTGCAAACTTCAATCAAATCAAATCTCAGGCTAAGAATTCCAGATATAATTAACATTATTTATGTATTATTTATGTAAATTACATTAGACTAAAGTTATTCATTCTACACTGACATTTTGCACATGGCAAAATGGGGAGCAAAAATCTGTTGTGGATGTACAGAATGAGAACTGTCCTTTCTGCATAACCACAGCAGACTCCCCTGGATTAGTAAAGCTTCAGAAAATAGATTGCATATCTATTGAATTCAACAGTTCCCAAACATTCTAACTGTTAAACATATGTCACAGTCAAGTGCCCAGTTGATTCTTGTAGACTTTGTGAGACATTTTCAAGAGAGAAATCTGATCAAATAATTTATTTTTCTCTTACTTTTATCTACTCAAGAAGGAAGCAATAAATGAGGAATTTATAAACTATCTATTGGTGTCCTCCTAGAGTAGGAAAAATGAATGGGTAATTGTGTTTTGATGAAGCCAACAATCACCGACTATAGTTAAGAACATATCACTGAAAGCATTAAGTGCATAATGACGTAGCTTAACAACCAGACATCTGTTCGTAAACATGGTTTTTGCTGGTATGTAATGGAAAATAGCATAGGAACTGCAGAGATATGCACATACCATCAAACCTTTATCACTACTGATATATATATATTTACATTTTCAAGCACTTAAAAGGTGCTTTTTAACAAAATTAAACTGCAACAATTTGAGCTGAACTGGCAATATTTAATGCCAGAACTTTTTGTATTGCTTATTAATGAATGTTCTTTATTAGAATATTTCAAACATTATAAGTTGTACTATTTTAGAATAGGTCCTCAAACTTAAACATATCACATTCAGTTCTCTCTCTCCTACCTGTACACCCATTGGTCTATATGCTAAGCATCATGTAAATTATTGTTGGATCACAATATCACAGTCTGCAATTCCACGTTATACCATGGAAATCAATATCAATTTGCTAAATTGGGTCTTTTTTGCATTGCAAACATTTTCTGAATGGATGTAATTAGAATTTAGATAAAAGGAAAATGTGAACTTACTTGACTTGGGGAAGATGTAGTTGTTTGTAGCAACTGCAGTAAATGTGATTTCAGTAGACCTGACGATTTAATGTTATCTTCTCCTAGAAATATATTGGCCTAGCCAGAAAAGAAAATTAAGAATACTTAACTCTGAAATGTCAGATTCTCTTTTCATTACAAATATTACAAAAGTTTTTGTCTGATAGATTTTCCTCCAATGAAAAACAGACTTACTGTGAGTTTTCTCTTGCAATCCAATCAGCATGACCTCTTTGGAGCCCATGAAAAAAAATGGGTTACTCCATTAACAATACTCTTAGGCAAGGAGGCAACTGAGATTCAGTGTGGAGATTCACCCTATTCTAACTTTACATGTCAAACACGGTACCCACTATCTTCCCCCTTGTACTGTATATCTCAGGTCAATAACATAGCAAAAGTAGGCAATTTGGCATTTCAATTCTACTGCATGATTCAATAATATCATGGCTAATCAGGTTGTGCTCTCAGCTTCATTTTACTGTTTGTCCTCCATAACCTTTGACTCCCTTGTCTATCAAAAATCTATCCAATTCAACCTTGAATAATTTAATGACTCAATCTTCACTACCTTTTGAAGTAGAGAATTCCACACTTGAGACTCTCATGTCTGTCTTGAAAGGAGACCTCTTATTCCTAAACTATGTCAACTATTTTTAATCTCCTCACAAAAATAACACAATGCTTTCAACATTTTGCTTTGAAACTTGGGCAGTTTTAATTTGAGACATTTACAGTACAGAAGTAAGTAATTTGGCCCATTGTGCTTATGTTGGCTCTCAGAGCTTGAAAAAGAATGAAAGCTACTATGTTGCTTCCTTCCTCCTACCCACAGCTCTACATTTACAGTTTTAATAATTTACATACTATTTTCATAAGAGATGAAATTACTTGCTCCTCAACAAATCAAGCCCCTCCAGAGACTAAATATTACTTTAGTCATTCATCAAAAATTTTCATAATTTTAAAATCTTCAAAAAAATCCTACTTTCTCTATTCCAGGAATAATTAATCTTGTTGGACTTAACAATTTATGACTTTTTTCCAATGATCAGGAACAGCTTTAGGTCCATTTTCAATTGAAAGGAGTTCTTTGGCTTCATAATATTAAAGTCCAGCTTGCTCTGGATTCATGAGAACAAGAAACATGCATTCAAAGCAGATGAATCAATCATTGAATCTGTTATCATGAGTGATCTGAATTATTAGGAGTCCATTAAAACATGCCTACATAGAGTCATAGAGATGTACAGCACAGAAACAGAACCTTCAGTCCAACGCATCCACGGCGACCAAATATCTTAAATAAATCTGGTCCCATTTGCCAACATTTGGCCCATATCCCTCTGAGCCCTTCCTTTTCATACACCCATCCAGATGCCTTTTGAATGTTGCAAGTGTACCAGCCTCCTCCACTTCCTCTCCAATGGCAGCTCATTCCATACACACGCCACCCTCCGCATGAAAAAGTTGCCCCTTAGGTCCCTTTTACATCTTTCCTGTCTCAGCTTAAACCTATGCCCTCTAGTTTTGGACTCCCCCACCCTGGGGAAAAGACCTTGCCTATTTACCCTACAAATGCCCTCATGATTTATAAACCTCTACATGGTCACCCCTCAGCCTCCGACATTCCAGGGAAAACAGCCCCAACCTATTCAGCCATTCATTGTTGTTACATAACATAATCATTTTGAAAACAAAAGGAATCAGGGAGGACCAGCACAGAGCAGTGGCAGTATAATTAACTGGTGGCTAGTCCTTTAATTGAGAAGAGAGTCAGGGCTACGTAGGAGTAAAATGTGGGAATGATGCTGCAGAAGTGTCAAACTAATGACCTTTCCAAGCTGGAATCCAGGTTTTACCAGTTTTCATCTTCGGCAGTCCCTCAGGATAAAGGAAGACTTGTTTCCACTCCAATTCATACGTTGTGAAACAGCTGGTAAAGCCACTGCATGATTTGCAGATTCCCCCACACACTGGACAGGTAGTATTCGAAGTTTTGGTAGATGTGTATGGAGGTTTTGCGCTGTCTGAAACCTCGACTTCATCGTGCATATTCCCAGTGAGACCTGATAATGTAGTTGGGGCTGACTCAAGGAGCCTTCTTCATGTTAGTCAGTCATTGTTAGGGTCTCCCCTGTTTGATTTTTTTAAAGTATGTTACGTGAACATCCCTAAAGCATCTCCACTACCCTCCTGTTGGCCCCCTGCCGTGACTGACGAGTTAGTTTGAAATTCTGGTCTTGGACATATGAACAAGATGTCTTGTCCAGGGGATCTGGTTTTGAATACTTAGTTTTTGATGCTGGGTGGGTAAGGAGAGGCTGTGACGTGGTAATGTCACTGGACTTGTCATCCAGAATCCCAGGCTAATGTTCTGATGATATGGGTTTGAATATCACTATGGCATATGATGACATTTGAATTCAATTTTAAAAAATCTGGAATTTTAAAGAAGGTTAGTCTAATGGTGATAATGTAACCACTGTTGATTCTTGTTTAAAAAACCTGTCTGGTTCATGAACAAACTTTTACAGAAAGAAATCTGCCATCCTTACCTGGTGTGTCGTACGTGTGACTCCAGATCTACAGCAATGTGGTTGACATTTAATAGTCCTCTGGGAAATTGCGATGGGCAATAAATACTGACCTAGCCAGTGATTCCCACATCCTATGAATAAAACCAAAATGGGCTGAGGAGTCTGTCAGACTGCCTTTCCTGACACCAGATTTGAAAGACCTTGTGAAGGTACCAATGGTAGTATTTCTCTAATGCTTTTTGGTATCTGCTAGAAGCCAAGTCTCTGAAGCATGCAGGAGGACAGGGACCAATGTTGCCCAGTAACTATGACCTTAGCCTCAGATTTGAGATCATGGTTCTCAAATACTCTCTCTTCCTCATGTCAGGTGAAGTCTGAGCTGACACATTGGAAGTGACATGAATTTCAACATCCATATCCATCTTCTTCATTGTTGTGGATGATGATGACGGTGATTCAGGATGGAATAGTTTTGGATTTTGATCAAAGAGGGCAGAGATTGAACATTTTCTCCTTTGTTTTCTGTTGGTAATTTCCCAAAGGTGAGGAGTTGTATTGTAATGAGGAAAATTGACAGTACATGCAACAGTCTTAAAATTTGGAATGGTCCCATACATTAATTTTCTCCTAACAATAGTTTCTTATCTTAGTCAATTTATGGCTTTACTACTTTTCTAAAATAGGAAGTCAAAACTCAAGATACAACTCCTAACTGTGTCCTAACTCTTGACTTGCATATACTTATGACTTCTCTCTATGTATAGAGGATTGATATTACATAATTATTAGACAGTTGAACACTCTGTGAGCATTATTTTTAATACTTCATTGTAAGAAGGTGATCAATGGTAATGTCACTGAAATAATAATCCAGAGGCCCAGGCTAATACTCTGTGGACAGGGTTCAAATCCCAATATGGCAGCCGAATCCAATAAAAAAAAATCTTCGAATAGAAAGCTAGTTTCCAAAAAGGTGATCATAAAACTATCAACTGTTGTAAAACACCATCTGCTGCAGTAATTTCCCTTAGGGAAGGAAATCTGCTGTCTTTACCTGCACTGGCCTACAAGTGACTCCAGGCCACACAGCAATGTTGTTAACTTTTAACTTCCCTCTAAAATGGCTTGAAAGCAATTAGAGATTGGTAACAAATGCTGGCCTTGCCAGCAACCCCTAAATGCCATCCTTTTTTTGTTCAGTTTAATTTTTATTCTCTGTAAATGATTCCTTATTTATTGTAGCTGTCCATTGTTTTGGTTAACGTGCAGGTTGTTGTGTTACCAGGTAATCAAGAGATGCAGGGAGCAGGCAGGAAAGTAGAATTGCACATGGTGAATTCTGAATGGCGAAGAAGGTTCTACAAGCTGAGTCTCTTTTGTCTTATGCTCCAATCCCCCTCCATAGGATGACCTGCAGCTACAGCTAGCTAGCTGGGAAAGCTATCAAGTCTTGCTGGAGTGTTGGCCCCAGTCTGCCACTGGAATGCTGCATCCAGGCTGTTGGCTCAGTTCCCACCATGATGAGCGTCTGTAAGCTCAATAGCCATTAACTTACTTGAACTGGCTATCTGCCCACAGTAGCACAGCTTCCACCCTGAAAAAAGGCCCAGGATGGTAATGGCAAACTATATTTTCACGTCTGTCTGCCATTGTATGTACAGGAAGCATTAAATCTCAGCTTCTCGCACTAAACTATCCAGCACATTTCCAACCCCTGAACGACTTGGGTTTTGGTGAGCCAATTGGAATATAGGGTGAGATCAGCAGAAATGAGATTCTTGACGTTGAGAATAAAATGTCCAATTCTCCAAGTAACTTAGTGAGCGGTGAGAGGCTTACTTGCATTCCATTGTTATCTAATACTGTACAAAGCTGCACTCCTCTACAGAAGAAAAATCATCTCACTGATATTGGGGAATTACCATTTTCTTTCTAACAAAGCACGTAAGCAAATATGAGCAAAGAATTGACCAAACATCCAAACTCAATGTTCACCAATAATCTCCTTCAATGGATTAATTAGGTAAAAAAAAGAAGAATATATAGCACAGGCATAGACAGTAGGTAATTTAGATTGCTCAATTTTTATCAATTTATTCTTAAAATCAATTATGAAACTCTCCTGAGCGTCTACTTTTAGATTAATTTTCAAAATTGTGACTGATAAAAACAATCAATTATGTTGGTCAGATGGTACTAGCAATCAATTTCAAGCAATTGTTAGTCCTTTCATTCAATTAGTTTGGAATTTATCTCTTTACAACAGTAAATAATCATTGCTTAATGTTCCCACTGATTCTCATAATGGAAGCATCGCCTCAAGGTTAGATTACTTTTATCACATTTACTATCACTGTAAGGCAGGGATCAAAATATTTCTTACCCCGTCCCGACTCCTGTGGTTTTCTAATAGGATTTTCTCAAATGTTACTTTTTACTTTCAGAGGCTCCTTTCTCAATCCAACTTCTTTGAGGCGATGAAGTCACCTAGGGCTGATTCTCACAGTTCTTTGGCGAAGTTCTACTTGAGTTAAGTTT